GAAGACTTGGGTACGCGCGTTTGTATTGTGAATTAATTAATACTAATTAATAAAAAAAGCAGAAATAATAGTGCCAGAATTATTCGATAAAAGAAAACCCGACAAAATAAAAGCATGACACCGAACTGTACCCCACCCCCCAAAGAAACCCACCCCCCCGGTACACAAAACGACAAACTAACGGAAACACCAAACGTCGCCGTCAACTCATTAAGCAACGTGGGGCCCACAAACGACCCGGTCTACTTTCTCATGCCCTAAAATTGAAATTGAATCAAACCCGGCGGCCCGTTTCTTAAAATATTAATTTTTTCTCTCTCTTCTTTGATTAGTTCACGCGTCCCATGGAAGGTCGGTTCAGAACCAACTTTCTCTCTCTAAAAAAGCATTTTCTCTCTCTAGTTTTCTATATATACAATTCTTATCTTCCCTAAAAAATCCATTGTCAATAACGATAGTAAATATATACAGAAAAAGAATAAGGAAGGGAAATTTCACTTGCCCCCTCTAAAGGAAGAGGAGTTTTTGGTGAGAAACAATAACCAAAAAAGAGAGAGATAGATCTCTCTCTCTTCTTCCTGCAACGAAAGGATTTTAATTATTTTGGGGGTAATTTATTTTATTTTTTGTTCCGGAAAATTTCTAGGGTTTGTGGAGCGATTTTTTTTCAAATTTGGGGATTAAAAATTATGGGGACGGAGGTTTTGAGGCCGCAGGATTTGTTGGTTGAGAGATTCCATGTGCCTCCGGCGTCGTTTCATCGCCGGAGAAATTTTCCGGCTACCGGCGCTATTTCGAATCTGAACATCAATCGGAAGCCGAACCACACGCCGAACAGCTATAGGAAGACTTCTCCGAAGCCGGAGAAGAAAAAAACCGCCGCCGCCGAGAACGTCGCGACGAAGAAGGCCGTCCACGGCGAGGCGCGGCGGAAGCACGACGGCGGCCCCGCCATGGGGCAGATCACTCTCCTGAGAAGAGGCGAGTCGATGGATTCGCTCACACCACCGAAAACCAAGGGCGGAAACCACGAATCGAAGTCGTCCTCCCCGAAAACCAAACCGGTCGACGATCTGGCGATTTTAGGCATCGGGAGAATCGGACCGGAGTCGCCGGAGATGCTGCCGAAGCAGATCCGCCGATCTCCGCCGCCGCCGCCGCCGAACATGTACGCCGGATCTGTCTGCGACACGTCGCCATCTCCTCAATCACTACCTCTCCCTTCCTTCTTCAGTAAGAAACTCCAAATCGACTGCAGCAACGATCCGGCGACGAGAGATCTGAGGCGCATGCTCCGCCTCGACTGATCTAGATCCGCCGCCGTACACCTTTTCTCTCTCGCAGCTCGCTTTTCAGTCACCCCCAAAATTCTCCGGCCATCTCCGATTCCAACCGTAGATATTTTTTCACAATACGGAACAAGGAATTCACTAGATCGCCGGAATCCGAACACCGGAAAATGAGAAGCTATTTAATTTATATATATATAAATATATAAAGCCGGTCTAATCTTTATTTATGCACTGTAATCATCATCTTCATCTTCATCTATGTGTTTGTTTTTTGTAAAATTGGTGGAAGTTTGTTGCATTTCTTTCACTAATTAATTAGTTCATATAGATTAATTAAGATTATGTAGTTTAATTAGTGTCTTTTTTTTTTTTCTTTCAGTCCAGCAGCTAAATATCGTTATTGCACAGTTGTATTATCTTTAATTTCGTGTTTAATTAGCAGTAATAAGATCGTCAATAAGTATAATTTAGCTAGTGTAAAATTGTATAATTTCCTTCTGTTATGTTTTTTTTTTCCTGTTTCATTAGTATTAATAAAATCGTAATTTTAAGTATTTTAAATTCTCTTTCTCTCTTCAATTCACAGTTAATTATTTGTTTGCAGTTGGCGGATGCCGCCGTGGTGGCGGCGGCCGGAGGATGATAAGGAGTCAGGAGATGTGAAAAAAGAAAGGAATGGTAGGTGGGATAAATGGTGGAAGAAAACTGTCAATTTTCAAATTAGGCCACCACCAATAAAGTATTAATAAAAGTTGGCATAATAATAGGGGCAAATTATGACACTTTGTTTTGGTCAAATTACAAAAAATCCTCTCATGTTTGAGTAATTACAGTCATACCTCAATTATGTATTATCTTACGAAAAAATCCCTCTAGCGATTATAATCGAGGGATGTTAATTAGGTAAAATCGATCCAAAATTTCAGTACGCTAATATTTGATACCGTTTATTGAACTGAATTATGATTTGGTTCGATATATAATTGAATTATACAAATTGTATGTAAAAATATTTAAAAGGAGGGGTGGCTGTAATTACTCAAACAAGAGGGATTTTTTCGTAATTTAGCGATATCTCGGCTTGTCGATAAATTGGCTTTTTGGGTTGAAAGAGTGTTTTAGACCGACCCACCACCGGCACTAATGCTTTGCGTGTGAAATAAAGAAATATCAATTTGAATTGAAAGGGCACCACTTGTTTCATTGTTTGGACCAAAAGACTTTATTGACAGCAAATTTATTTTTTTCTTTTGTTGTTTGTGGTTGTGTAATAAGTCTATGTAAAGCATCCTATGTGAATTGTTATTAGAATAAGAATATGACCCTTGTGCACGTTGAGGACAAAATTTCATGGCTTTCTTCTCCATATTCTAAGTCATTGATTTCAATGTCCAAGGTTTAATCTTGATGGATTACCTAATGGTATATTAGTTGGATGTCCCTGAAAAATATGTACAGGATATCGGATATTTATTATTTTGCTTAAGCTTGTCAAATTGGATTATGATATCATTTAAATTATATGGCGTCGTTGCTAATTGGGGTCGAGCTGACAATTTTATCCTCCGTGCACTCTTGGTAGCGCAGTCTGACCAACAACAAATTCTGGGAATCTGAAACTTAATAACATATGAATATACGTACTCAATATCATAGAAATCTTATTTAGAGAGTTTAGTCAGGCGACACCAGAGAGCTGAGCATTATCGGTACATGAATTGAAGCACTCTACAGAGAAGTATAAACACATGAAAGTATACAATGGAAACTACAATGAGACTGCAGAGCTTAAAAATAGAACTATACACACACAAAAAATACGCACATGAAAATGGGAAGAGAGAGAATGGTTCGGACGAAAAACGATAGACGACTTTTATCAAATTGACAAAATTTTATCATCCTAATTTTCAAAGGATATTAATGTTGAAGGATGTTTAATTACCGAATTGCCCCTTACCTAATCGGGTCTTGATTTTCTTTGTTGGCTCAAATTAAATAAAAAAAAAATTGCTTATACTAAAAAAAATCCTCAATTATGGCCCAACTATTTACCCCTCGTTGTGTTTGCGTACAAGCCCAATAAACCAAACACTAATAAACATGATTAGTTAGGTAAATGTGTTTAAACTAAGCTAAAGGCCCAATTAAATTTCATATGATTTATTATACTTATTTATTCCTTATTATATCTATTAGACTTGCACGTATGTCTCGTCTCGATACATTCTTTTGTTTTTTTGTTCATTTTTTTGCATTATTTTCCTAATTAAAGAATGTTAATTTCTTTAAGTAAGCAGACAATCTAATATAAGCAAAACGTGATGTAAGTTGTTGTGTTCAATTAGTAATGAACTTGTTGATTAGTACTAATCATGTATTCAATTTCGAAACGTTACAACTTTACGATTCATCTCTTATTCTTCGAATCCCCGCATATTTTTTGTTATAGAAATTTCATAAACGAACACATACATGAAGGGGCGTACGCAAGCATTGGCTTAGGGGGCAGCCGCCCCTGCAGAAAAAAAACCTTTTTACCTATTTCTTATTGATTTTATTATAATTTTTTTAAACAATTTGTTATTGCTACTTAATCAAAATACCAAAAAAATAAAAAATCAGGGTTCAATCCCCGAACCCCTGAATCAATAGTTTATTTTTTCCTGAACTCTCGACCCCAAAACAAATAACCTTGGATCCGCCCTTGCATATATATATATATATATATATATATATATATATA